GGCAAACTGCAAACTATTTGCAATGAGGATTGTCTCTTCAGCGCTGAATATCATGGCGGACACTTGGCGCTGCGTGACAAGTGAGTTGGGACACATGCAATTCCAGTGATTGATGATAACTAATGAACTTCACAATTTGTTTAATTTCGTTTTTTTTTTTTGGACAGACAAAGCCAGTATCTTTCGCCAATCGGCTCCAAGGCTGTGCTAAAATCGCGTTCTTCCACTGTGACACGTGATGAGCTATTCTCGTTGGAAGATTCCTTGCCGCAAGCATCGTTTATAGCTGAGTTGAATTCGCGTTATGTATCGGTGAAACAAGGCGTCGATGTGACCGCCAATCAGGATGAGGTGGGCGAGAACGAGACATTCCAATTGGAGTTTGACTGGTCGGCTCATCGCTGGGCGTTGCGCACAACACAAGATCGCTATTGGTGTTTGTCCACTGGTGGTGGCATACAAGCCACTGGTAATAGACGTTGTGCTGATGCGCTTTTCGAACTGGTCTGGCACGGTGATGGCTCATTGTCGTTCCGCGCGAATAATGGCAAATTTTTGGCTACAAAACGTTCCGGACACTTATTTGCCACCTCAGAAAGTATTGAGGAAATAACAAAGTTCTACTTCTATTTGATAAATAGGTATGTACATATGTATGTAGGCAACTTGGTGTAAGATTAAATATTTATTGTTCAAAAGTCATTGATTTTTTCGCGCTTTACAGACCCATACTTGTACTTAAATGCGAACAGGGCTTTGTTGGCTATCGCACGCCCGGCAATCTTAAGCTGGAATGCAATAAGGCCACATACGAAACGATCTTGGTGGAGCGCGCCCAAAAGGGTTTGGTTCACTTGAAGGCACACAGTGGCAAATACTGGCGCATTGATGGCGAAGGCATCGCCGTCGATGCGGACGCACCCGCTGATGGTTTCTATTTGGAGTTGCGAGAACCGACACGAATTTGCATAAGGTATGTGGCTTGAGTATTTACATACTTACATTTAGTGAATTGGTATATTTTCGTTAAATTTTAATACAAATATTATTTACAGATCACAAACTGGCAAATATTTGGGTGCCACGAAAAACGGCGCTTTCAAGCTGCTCGACGATGGCAGCGATTCGGCCACACAATGGGAATTCTAAAGCGGTATTGACGGCTAAAAGTGCTGGGTATTTGCTTAACTGATAATCCTGTTAGTATGTAATTTGAATGCTGCATACATACATACATACATATATGCAAAAGTGAATGATAACAAAAATAAGCGGAATAAGTATTTGCCAATAATGAACATGGAAAAGCTTATGTGCACACACACACACACACACGCATACTTACATATATTTATTAGAAATGATAAAGTGAGTAAAAAAGATAAAAAGGCAACAAAATAAACTTAAATAAAATGCAATATAATTGAGCGACTAAAATCGTTTAACATAAATAAATGATGATGAATTAATAAATTGTAAGAAAACGCATGCAATTAATAAACTAACTAAAAATACAATACAAATGCAATTGGAGATTTTAGAAAGCGAATACTTAAGAAGAGCTAAATGCAGTTGGTCAAAATACGCCGTTGAGCGCACGCTTTTACATACATAAACACATACATACAAACATATTGAAAGCAAACATAATATTTTTATACCGTACCAGATGTGAAAGGAATTAAGAAAACATATACATACATGTGTAAACAAAAAATACAAACAAAAAATTGCCAACCAAAACAGGAAACGCACAATTTTTTACAGAATTTTATACAGAAAGAAAATTTAGCTTTTATATCAAGAAAAAACGGAAAACATTTAATAAAAAATTTGCATTGCCCTGAGGAAAAGCTTAAGTGGTGCGGCGGCAAACGCGCGGTAAAAAACGGAGATATTTGCTTTATAAAAAGCTAACGCAAACTGGCGCGTCAGAATTTTAGGAAAATCTTATTTTAAATATTCCATATCTGATGAAATGTAGAAAGGCCCGAACGCAACAAAGATTTAGGTTTGAGCTAAAATTGCGGTTAAGTTGAAAAAAAGGTAGTTCTCGAATCTCCAACGTGGTTTCTCAATCGTATCTCAAGTGGAGAATCATAGCGTTCTCAACAAAAAGGGCATTTTCTTTTTATGTATGAAAATAGGATGGTTTCTCAACTTAAGAAAAAGTTAGTTTCTCAATTTGAACTCCAATGTAATTCTCCAAACTGGTCTCAAACATATCATCGAAACGACATAGACAAATTTAGAGCCTTTCTACAAGGTGTCGCAAAAAGAATAACCCTATTTTCTTTTAATGTCATTTCAAAAATAATTCAAGTATAGTTATTTTTTAAGCGAATGTGGTTATTTGAAGCAATTAACGAAATTTTTTCATGTTTGGAGAATGATATTTGATAGGTGGCCTCCGCCAGAGTTGATGCATATTTCGGTTCTTTTTACGATACAATAACTCTAACTAATCTTAAAAGATTCTGAAATTTTCAAGTAGGTGTTTTTAAGATATAAACTTTTCCAAAAACCAAATTAAAAATATATTTAAATTATATTGCTAAACATAACTTTTTTTTGAGTTTGCAAATAAAAAGTTTTTCAAAATTCGGAATTTTAGGTACATTTTTTAAAAACACATTCTTGAAACTGTTATGACCTTTTACGATCAGTTGGCTGTATTGCGTAAAAAAATTTTGCCAAATTTTTTCTTCAGTTTTAACTGGTAAAGTTCCATAATTTTTTTATACATTTTATGATTATAGCCCTAAATATCACTTTTAAAACGAGACCAGTAACATATTTTTATATAGTTTTCGAGATATTCAAAAAATAAACTTTCAAATCACGGAAATTTTTAAATTCAGATTTTCCATTACTTACGGAATTTTTGTTTTTTTGTTTTATGTTTGGCAGAACTTTTTTATATGATAAAAGAAAAGTTCTGATCAAAAATGATCGATTGCAACCATTGGTTATTTGGCACCACAACAGTTTGTCAGTTTGGACCGAGACCAGAAAAACTACGCCGATTGTCTCTCTCTCTCTCTCTCTCTTGCACGAGGTTGCGACCGTTGTTCGTCCCGAGATCATTTTAGAACGGAACAGTCAAATTTTTAGTTGAATATATTTTACGAAACACGTTTTAAAACTATACGAATATTTGCTGTTCATCAATTAATATAGTTCAGTAAAAGTTTCAAAACTTGCAAAAGCAATGTTCAAAAACAGTTTTTTTTTTTTTTTAATAACCATATCAATTTCCGTGGGCCGCCGGGTTGCCGTACCCGCTTGCTTGAATGTAGTGCGCCGAGTTATGATGAAAAGCCAATTTCGTGAATCCTTCCGTTGCGAAAATTTTTTACAAAATGGAACTTATAATGAAAAAAGTGAATATATGTTCATAAGTACATACATACATATACACATACATATGTACATTTTAAATAAAAAAGTTTGGTAATAAAATTTTGAAACGTTTATGTAGTATATTTTAACTAATATTATAGATACATACAAAAACAAAAAAAATTTGCAATTTTATTGATCATGCGTGAATATTTTAAAAGCTTTTTTAGCAATTTTAATCAGAAAATCCTCCATTATATGCGTACATATTCCTATTAAAAATTATAATCTAAATTTTATATGTATATCGATTATAAGTAATATTTATCAAATACATACATACATACCTATATGCAAACATAAGAAATATTGAGCATATACATGCATAAATACATATGTATGTATTTATGAAGTCATACTAACACTGACTACAAAAATTATAACAATAAGCGCAAAGCTTCAATTAATATCCAACAGCGTAAACGCGAGGAACAAATTTGTAATAATAATTTATACAAAAAAAGTGGTCGACAAGACCTCTTTGTACTAAATAGAAATGCAATCTCTTAAAAAAATTATGTTCCATATAATTTGCAGAAAAAGCGCTTTCAAAAGCAAGTTTGCAATATTATTGTGTGTTTAATTAACAAAAAAAAAAGTTTGTTAGAATTTTTTAACATTTTATTTAATATTAGTTTATTATGCATAAAAACATTATTTAAATTACTGCGCAACTCTTATGATATGTAGATATTTGCTCAATTTAAATTAATATTTTATGCTCGCTTAAATATTTTTTAATTTACAAATTAAATTATTTCTATTTTTTACAAAAGCATTTTAAAGTAATTTTTCATATCATGGAATTCGGCTTTGTTTGTGCATATCAACTTTCTTCTCTAGTTATACATACATGCATATATGTATGTCCATATGTACATATATGTACATACATACATATAGCTTAGTTAGTTTTCATTTTCATTTTAATTTCACTTGCGTTGCTCATGTCACTCATTAATTGCATTTTAGTTAATGAATATAAACAATTTCAGCTGATTTTGTTTCCCTAAAAAAAAATGCTGTGGAGAACTTCATTAAACTAAAATCTATCGAAAACTGTATTTATAATTAGGAAGGAAAACATGTGGTTATAAAGATAAGCATTAAAAAGAAAGAGCAAATGTGAAACTAAAACACGATATCAATATCAATAAAGGACACTTATTATAATCATGTATTCATAATCTAAAAATTTAAAATTCTTTTAATTCTTGGGCAAAACTGATGAAATCGTATCTGTGCAAAATTGGTTTTTTATGAATCATCATAATAAGTATGGACTCTGTAGGCAAATTTGCATACTTACCCAAAATCTTTCTAAAAATTTTAACTATGCGGACGACATAGTTTATGCCTATTGGAAAAAGGAGTTTACAACTCAAAGGGGGTAATTCCACCTATTATGTTAGAGGCAAACGAAAGGAAAATAACAAAAATTAAGAACTAAACCTTGCCGATCATCCCATTTTACAAGTATTGTAACTTATCTGAGCTCTTAATTGCAGTTAAGTAGAGATAGAAATGGGCATCGAAATGAAACATGTAGCGGTCATTCTTGACAACAAAATGTTATGGAAAAAGCACGTAAAGTACATACGCTGTTACAAAAGCCAAACGAGCTTTAGTGGTATGAGAAAGACAGATCGGATGTAGAGTTCCTATATCCTGCGGTGGATTTACACGAGGGCCTAGAACCACACACTAAAAGGTGGTGCACAGATGGCTGCAAAACTAACTAATGTATAGGGCAGGTATATATGGTCGTAAAGCTATGATCTCCATACAAATTGGAAACTACTCTAGCATCATTCAAGCAGAGGTTTATGCCAGTAATATTTGTCTAGACGTAATTCTGAAAAGATATTTAAGAAGACAGCACTTTGTCATTTGCAGCAACAGTCAGGCTGCGCTAAAAGCCACATCTTCATGTGCGCGAATGGGTATGGGAATTGTGTTGTGACAGTGAACAACTTAGGGGAACAAAACTCCATACAGGAAGGGTTCCTTGCTGTAGCAATATGTACTATAAAGGAAGAGTTAAGAGTACCGGATACTGGATACGCCAGACGAAAAACCTTTTAGGAAGATGAAATCCCAAAAGAACTAGTGACCTAATTACCATTCAAAAGACAATTTTAAGATATATAGCAGTTGAACTGACGGGTCATTGCAGGCTGCGAATCCACATGAAAATCCTCGCAATTAGCGCAGACGAATTGTGTTGCTCCTGTGAAACAACATCAGAAGCTCCACAGTACCTCCTTCTAGAATTCGGTGCTGTCGCGAGAAGAAGATAAACTCTTCTGAGAGAGCTGTGGTCAGAACCTAAGCACACTCAATGTATGTATGCCTACCCTGAAACTGCTAGGTTTCATTTGAGCGCTAGTGCTGGACGCGTAATAGACCTAAGGTGTCTAAGAAAGCTAACCAATCATAAATAAAAATTAACCAACTACTTGGAACAATGGAAAATATTAGTATATTTATTTAGAATTTACAGTCTAAATATCACTTACTTATGTATGTGAAAATCATTTGAAATAAAATCAATTTATTTATAGTTTAATTAAAACTTATTCAAAGAGCTAAAAATCAATACTAAATACATTAGAAAATATATATTTAAATTTAGCAAACCCTTATGAGTACTACCATGTATGTACATACTACATACAGACCATGGAAATGATATTTTGCAAATCGCAATACCAGTTTTACATTTAGTGTTTGTCCGATGGTTACTGCATCTGACTAAGCGCATGCGTATATACAGGTGTATTCTCACCCCAACCACGCTTGATAATATGCGGAATCTTCTTTGGCACCATGCTGCAAAATATTAGAATATACATACATATGTATATAGAAGACCAACTATCTAAAAACACAATAAATTGCTACTCACCTGATGCAATCAATAATGGGGCAAACACTAACACACAACGTACAACCGGTGCAATCATCGGTGACATGTGGTATATGCGTCTCGGCATCGAATTGTATGGCCTGATAGCCGGAGTCATTGCACGTCATATAACATTTGCCGCAATTTATGCACATATCCTAGGTACAAATCAAGAAAAAAAAAGTTTTTACATTTCCACTTTAACAATTGCAATCGAAGTACAGCAATCTTACATCATCGATTAATGCCACTTTCTGTTGCTTGTTGTCCAATTTTTTATAGGCGCCAATTCGATTCAAGGCGCGACCTATAATATCGTTTACGCGGAGTGTAGGTTTTGGTGCACCAAGAGCACCTGATGTCGCAGTTTCCTTTTTAGCATTCCATAAGGGACCATTCTTGACTCTGCCCTCATATAGTTTCTCTTCTCGCTGCTTCTTGTATGGGCCAAAGAATCCTAAAGTCTAAAATTAATTATAGCATCGCGACTTGAACTTAAGTAGTTTTTATGCTCTCTGTCCTACCTTGTTGTCGCCATCCGTCAAGTGCACCACCGGCTTGCCCTTCTGATGTTTTGGTGTTGGTGGCGATTGCCCGTCCCATAGTTGAGTATTGTTTGGCGGTGGATTCGCTTCCAAATAAAGCAGTGCTTTCAGACTGGTCGTATAATCCTCGATCAATGTAAAGTCCTGATTCTGCACTGCGGAGCACACTTGCACCACTGAGGCACCAGCCTGCAAGAATTGTAATGCCACCTCGCCTGAATCAGCGCCGCCAATGCCGAGAATGGGGAATCCCGGCAGCGTATTTGCAATTGAAGATATCGCCTTCAGCGCCATGGGACGTGTCGCGTTCCCAGACACACCCCCGTAAGTGGTGCGTTGTTCAACGCCAATCGCAGGCCATGCCGTTGCATCAGCTTTCAAACTCATCAGTCCCTGTACAGTATTGATGGCCGATACGCCTGCTGCACCACCACGCTGCGCCGCTGCAGCAATGTTCACAATGTCAGTGATGTTCGGCGTCAATTTAATAAACACTGGTATTTTTACCGTGTCACTGACCCATCTCGAAATTTGTTCCACCAATTCGGGTATCTGGCCGCACGCTAAGCCCATACCTGACTCGCCCATTCCATGCGGACAAGACAAATTCAGTTCAAGCGCATCGGAACCACATTCCTCAGCCTTGGTGGCCATTTCCTTCCAGTCCTCCTCGATAGCTGCGCACATTATGCTCGCGATAACAATCTGGTTGGGAAAGTCCCGCTTGAGTTCGCGTATCGAACGGTACCAGTATTCGGCGCGTTTCTCCGAAATCAATTCTATGTTGAGAAAAGCACCTTGCTGCGGGCCATAATTATAGCCCGCGGTGGTGCCACGCACAATACGTGGCGATACATTGGTGACCAGATCTTTGTCAAGCCCGAATGTTTTTGTAACCACAAAGCCCCAACCCTGCTCGAAAGCGCGTCGGCACATAGCTGAACTTGTTGTAGGTGGGGCGGATGCTAAGCCAAAAGGATTAGGGAATCTGAGTGTATGTTTCTCTTTTTTGCCCGTTTCCTTGTCGGTGCGCTCGTACATTAAATCAACCGTTAGGTCGACGTTATCGATGTCAGTGTAGAAAAGTGGTAACTCAGGCGGAGTATCGAGTGACAGTCCCTGCAGTTGGCAATGAATGCTCCAAGCGGCAATTTTGCCATCGTTTACAGACTCAACTGTGGTATTAGCTTGTCCACCCAAATCGCCACCACAAAAAACTTGCGGTATGCTAGTTTGTAAAGTCTTTGGATTCACTTTGGGTAGGTTCCACTGATCGAGTTCAACTGGTTTAATGGCCTCAATGATTTCTGTGTCAGTCAAGCCAGAGCCGAAGGCCGAAATGATATAGTCAGCCTTAAGGGTTGTAGGTTGATCTCTATCTACAATTAGTTGGCCGCTGTCATCGATTTCGGTACGGAAGAACTCCATCGCACGTATCTGTAGGAAGAAAGCAAAAACAAAAAAATTATGTTCCTTTTAAATTATTCAATATCCCTTAAGCTCACCTTATTTTCCTTGACGATGACTTTGCTAGGCGCCAAGAATGGTAGAAACTCGCACCATTCTTCGCGTGCCAACTCCACCTCTTCGGGCACGGCACGCATGCCGGTAGTGCCCCGACGGAAGATGACAAAAACGCGTTTGGCACCACAACGCCAAGCGGAAGTGGCGCAATCGAAGGCGGTATCACCAGCGCCCAAAACGATAACATTACCACTCAGCGAGGGTAGAGGTTGGCTGGCCTTACATGCACATAGCCCGGGCTTTGAACCAGCCGATACGATAGGCAAGAAGTTTTTAGATGTATAAAAGCCCATAGACTCATTTAAACCAGCAAAAACCGGATCCACGTTTGGTTCTGGCAAACCGATGCCCAGAAATAGGGCGTCATGACCAGTTGAAAGCAAACCCTGCAATTGAAGGCGCACACAAATTAAGTCTTTTTCATTTACACGCATTAGAGTAGACTCACGTTAACGGTCAAATCCCTAGTCGACAGACTGCGGTTCAACTCAAATTTTACACCCAAATCCTCAACTAATTGAATCTCAAAATTAACAACATCAACAGGTAGACGATATTGTGGAATCTCAGATGAACTTAAGCCGCCCAAGAAAGATCGTTTCTCATAAATTGTTATGTCCTTATAGCCCAAGCGTGCTAGGAAAGTGGCGCAAGAAAGTGAAGCGGGTCCACCACCTAAAAGTGCAATTTTCTTATTTGGCTGCGGCAAGGGTTCTACATTAGGTGGCACTATTTGACGCACACCCATCTCCTTGAACATCTCGGTTGCAAATTGCTGCAAACCACCAATATTAATGGGCCCTTCTTCCGACGCCTGCAAATTACAACCACCAACGCACAAATCGCTAGTTGGGCACACCATGCCGCAGGTCAAACCCAGTGGATTATCTGAAAATATAGCCTTTGCGGCGCCATAGTAGTTTTTATTGGCAATACTGGTAATGAAGCTCTTGATGTCCAACTGAGTGGGGCATGATTTCTGGCAAGGTGCGTCGGCGCACTTTAGGCAACGTGCTGCCTCTTTGAGAGCGCCTCGTTCCGAGAGCGTGGTGTGCTTAACATCATCAAAGTTATTCAAAAGCTTCGAGCAGCCCTAAAAGGAGATGGAGAATAAAATTAAATACAATAGAATAATTAGGTACTAAAAACATAAAATTTATGTAAGTACTTACGGTTGGATTGCGATCATTGTTACGCTTCCAATGCTTTTTGTTGATCTTCGTTTCAGCGGTTGGTACAACCGTACATTGTGTCTTGACACGAGGATTTAAGGCCATCAGACTCTACAGTTTGTTGCGGAAAAGGATATAAACAAATAATACAAATGTTCCTACATACATATATACATATGAAGGATAAGATTATTACCTACCTCGATATCTGGTATCTCCTTGCTAAGTAATGCCGGTGGTGCCATGGCTTAGTTTTTATATAAATCTGAAATCTAAAAGAATAACATTTGAAAGAGCTTTTACTGGCGATTCAAATCTCAGGCCATAGTGATCACCATTTCACCATAATTTCAACCCAAGAAAATTTCTCTTTTAATATTTATTATTGGAATTCGAGTAAAATTTTTCTTAGAAACAGAGAGTATCTATATCTTTGGAGAATTTTCCAGACTAAATTTTAACGGCTTAAGTAGATTTTCTGGCTTTGTAAACATATTTAATACAGACGAGGCAACCGATGAAGCAACCTGTTTGTTGAGGCAACCTGTTTTTCATGTTCAATATACACGGGATAACCGTAGTGGCAATGGTTGCGGCAACCTCAGAACTTTGTTTGCTTTTGCTGAATGACCCCTTCGTTGAAATCGAAAAAGATTAATATTTGTGTTGTAGATGTCTATATGTATATGAGGTCATTAGGATCAGAGTAGCCTAACTGACATTTCAAAAAAAAAGTGGAGGTGCACCTTAAAGTACATTACTAGAATCGAAACGATAATAGCCCGAGACATGCCCTTTTAGAATTTTTTTACTAAAATATGTAGCATCACGTAGGTGTAATGAACTTTTTAGTAAAAGATCGCAAATTTTACAGGAGAGCTAAAAAACGGGTTTTCCTTGAAGGCATTGCCTTGATAGCCGGTATTTTCTCTAGCTATTATCTTACAAATCTGTTGTTTTAATAACGATTTTACGATTTGTATGCATAAATATCGATGCCTGGGGTTCAGGGTTACCAAATCTCATTTTTGTCTCAACGGCGATTTAGGTGGTTTTGCAACTGGTCGATGGGCGGCTTTGCAAATACATCGAAAATATATGTAGACCTTTCTTTCTCATATTACTAAAGAATTTTTTTTGTAGATAGGCTCCTCTGGCCTTTATGTCCTCATATAATAAATCAGCAAGCGGTATTCATTCCTTGTGATAATCGTTCACTTAATTTGGAACTGGGAACTTAGCTTAAGAAATTATCGTATAGTTTGGTAAAGTAAAAACGAAAGAAAAATGTAATCTGTGGTTTGATAATACCGTCGAGAAGATCCGAAAACCGCACAGCATATGACGATACATGTTGAAGTTATTAAAAAAAAAAACTTGTACAAGTTTGTACCAATTGTTACCAAATCATGTTCGTTTGACGAAAAAAACTAGTACAACTTGCAAGGAGAGAGCACAATTTCCATATTTCATTTGCAGTGGAAGTTGCAAATTCGTGCTGGGAAAAGTTTTGCCAGTAAGAACTTGCAAGCAGGATTGTGGCGCACGGTTGCAATTTTGTCAACAATAATTTGAATCAACAAGTTCGTTAAATTTAAAAATGAAGATTCGGTTCACATGGTTCAAAAGTCATAATTTTGATGTTGTTTCATGTGTTCAAACAACAACAAAATTAGCCAATCATGCTCTCTATGCTATCTATGCACCATGCCAGACAGTATGCACCGGATCGTGAATACCCCTAATGTATCATATGTGTATGTACATACATGTACGTAGGTACAGATGCACGCCATTTTTATTAGTTATCATCAGGGAACGGATTTTTAGGACCTTAAAACCTATAAAAAAGGCAAAATAAAGTAACGAAATAGGCTGAAAAAGGCAAAATAAAATAGCGAAAAAGGCAGGAAAAGGCAAAAAAAGGTATTGCAAAATAAGGCACTAAAAAATACAGAAAATACGAAGAACAATCAATAAATATATTTATTTTGGAAATGCTTATATTACAAGTAAAAAGAGAAAAACTATGAAGTAGTTTCATTATATGAAAAATTTGTACTTTGAATCTTTGACTATTTTATCCTTTCGAGTTTCTAACTCATAAAACTTTAATCTGTATAGTTGTAGTAACATTGAACCACAAGATGCATTTTGAAGTTTTCTGGCAGCATTTTCATTCGATTTTCGCGAAGAAAAGCCTTGAATGTACTAAATGTGCGCTCGACGTAGTTGATACAAGTGGATCCCAATTTAAATATGGAACATTTCCTCGCCCTTCACAATTTTATCCACACCCCTTATTGTCTCCAAGCCTACGTTAGCTGAGAAAACGGCTTTGAATTTTTCCAACACCAATTTCTCAAGAGGTCCCTGCGCTTCTATAAGCCGCATGGGCATGTGTATATTTTTTAATCTTTAAAAAAAAAAATTTTAAATGCTATAATCACTTTTTTAAAGGTAGAAAAGGCAAAAAAAGGCAAATATCTTAAAAAAGGCAAAAAAAGGCAAATATCTTAAAAAAGGCAAAAAAAGGCAACATCAAATGTGTATACATGGAATCAGGGAAAGCTAAATCGTGGACATTCTTAATCGAATATACTCTATCTCTTTAGCAGAAAAAAAGGCAATTTCCATAAAATCCGTTCCCTGGTTATCATCATCGCACATACAAGACATACGTACACACGAATGTACCTACGTACATACATTTTACATTAAACCGAACCACTTATCAGTTATAAAGTTATCCGCTCATCTGGCACACGAAACTGTTATTTCAATAATTTAGTCTATTTACCAAAGATTAGGGAAATGACACCAATAAATTTTACTGGCAGCGAGTGTCAAGTGCAAAGTGATAAGCACAGTAAAAGTTTGATATATAAAAATTAAAAATTAGAAATGTTTGGTAAGTATTTCAAAAAAAATGTTTGGTCAGGTTACGCAAAGAAAAAAAATACAAAGGAACTTTTAAATCATAAACTAAATATGTAAGAAAAATTAAAATAAATATCTATCTTTCAGTATGAGGCTTTTAGTTAAATTATTATTTCGGTACCTAGATAGACTTTTCGCATTGTTTATTTAAAAATAATCAAGTTTTATTGTGTTTTACGTTGTAGTATATATACATTAGGGCGGGTAAATTTGTATGGGAGCCTTTTTCGAATATGCGCGTAGAGCGCAGAAGGTTTCCACGTGTAATTCTAAGAAAATTTGTCGATGAAACCACGGGTCTAAAATCAATTGGAGTTTGGCAAATTTCGAAAAAAGGTTTCTTAGCTCCTTTTGCTGTAGTGTCGTAAAGAATTTTGTATAAACACGTGCTACACCCCTTTTATTTCGGTATGAGGAATCCATTTCTGCACTTATATTTTTCTTAAAACTTCCAACGGAGGGCGCAACAGTGAAAATTTTGACATTTTCTTCGAAACTTATTTTCGCAATTTGGCAAACTGTAAATTGATCTTAGACCAACGGCTTCTTTGGCAAATATGCTTAGAATTACACCTATAATCCTCTTATGCTATACGCGCATAGTAAAAAAAAAATTTACCCCCCCTAATATACACAGTTATAAAGTTTAAGGTTTCACTGTATTTACTTAATGGTACATCGTCCTAATCGTCCAATTAACATGACAGTTCAATATTAGCTTAGACACGCAAGTGACGTCAATTAAAATAAAACTTATGAATGATGCGTTTTCGGGAGGGAACAAAAAAGGTGACAATTGTTTTCTACATAGTTATACACCAAAACCAATTAACTAAATTTTGGCAGACCAATTTTGTTTTTGTTGGTGATAAGTAGATTTGCTTTCAGAATTTAATGAATGACTTTAATAATGGAATAAATTAATATAAAAAACAGATAAGAAGATGATAGCATTAAAGTGCGCAGTAAGTACTACATACATATTAGCCATCTATGTACATACATACGTATCTGCTTATGCGCTTCTGTATACATAAATACTAAACTCATTTACAGATTTTTAAGGTTCTTTTATTTGTTCAATCGAAACTTGTTGATTTTGCATACATATCTCTCTCTCTCTTTATTTATTATTATACTCTGCTCAGTGTACATTTACATACATACACATATATGAACAAACATATGTATCTTATTATTAATTTTAAGCACCAATTCACTTTCAAAAATCCACTTTATTGAAAGTGCTAAACAAGCGCGAACACTTATGTAAAACTGATTATCAGTTCATTATACTAATAACTTTAAACAAATAAAATTGTAGCATTGATTATAAAAGCACAAACAAACATAAAACTATGCACTTGTGTAAGTACGACAAGTATTTGCCACACATGCCTCTCAGCTGAGTGTATCTGTTAAAAACTTCGTTGCTGGAGTACCATTTTCAATTACTTTTATTAGTTTATATACGTAGGAATGTATGTACATATATATATATACATAGATATGTGCACACATATGTATATAATAACATGTTAAATATACGCATCACGTACCAACAACAAGCAAAAGCTATATATATATATATATATATATATAGGCATCTATATAAGAAAAATGTATTTAAAGGTTCTAATTTTTTTGTATACCGAATTCGCGTTTGATGCGTTCAACTGTATTTAACACACGAAAATAGATCTTGTCACTGCAAGCGTCTATATTCAACTGATCGTAGCCAGCTATTTGTTATCAAACTCATAAAATGAAAAAACGAAAATTGGATGAAAGTAGAAATCCGAACACAGCTGAGCGACTAGCTAGCGTTGCCAGTTTAGCGATGGTAAAATTAATTAATTAACTGATTGAAACCCCGTTTATTTGGTGGGGAAAAATTAAATTTTATGTACCTAACCGAAACATTCACAGTTTTTTGGGCTGAGTTTGCCTAACAGCACTAAATATTTCACCATACCTCCTAAAAATGCAACTAGTAACAAGTTGGGCGTAAAATAAAGGAAACAATTTTGTAGAACTCAACAAAATTAAATTACTTGTGCAACAATTACGAATTGCTATAGAAAACTTGGACCTTGACATCCGTGAAATTTTTCAATAGTTATTTGCCAATACCTCGAATTTCGTCCTTATAACTTTATTAGTTTAGCACAAAAAAATTAAACATGCTTTCTCCTTACCTGTTCGCCCTTGTGAACCAACAAAAAAAAATTTTTTAGACCATTTTAGATCATTGTTATTCTAAATTTCACTGGATTTTTAAAATAATTTTTTGAATTAATAACAAAATTGCAATTTCAAAGTCTATTTAAAAAATACCTGCCATAAGAGAGAAAAACTAAAAACGCAGTTTTATTATATGTGGCCCCAAGTTTCGTGAGTATACTGAGACTTTCGTGTGTTTGCAAATTTTTTGTTTTTATGTATGTATTGGGTTATAAGGATCAAAAATATTCAAGATGTTTATAGCCTGGCCACTATACTGAACTTTGAAAAGATCTTCACAATTTTTAAAAGAGAAGAGTATAATTTTTTGAAGTGAAACTTCTTTGCGCTCGGTTGAGTGGAAGTAAACTCCAATGAAACGAAAAAGCGTAGAAGGGAGGATATGGCGGAGCGCGATTAAGATAATTAACAAGTAATTTTTAGCAAAAAAAACCGACTTCAACTCTCATATAAAAAAATATATATATATATATCTCATGATCCACTGATCGGATCTTAACCAGATTGGTATGGGACCACCTCTGAGATACTACCTTTCCGATGCAAAAAGAATTATCGAAATCGGTTGTCGTAGTCCAAAGTTATGCGGTAACATACATGAAAAAAAAAAAATATTCCGACGAACTGATAACCTCCTCCTTTGTTGGAAGTCGGTTAAAAATTTGACTCTTACAGACAGTGAAACCAGAGAACGTACATGAATTGATTGCCGTATTATTTACGTATCATACACGTTATCTGGTGAAACGCGAGAAAATGCGAGAAGGGGAAATAGATTTGCAGTCAAGGGGAGTCGAGGAATAGATTTAAAATTTTTCAAAAACCGGAGTAAATCTACTCAGATCGGAATAAAGTCCGAACACTGGTATTTTTCCAATTTTAACGCTAGTGAGCCACAGATGGTGGGAAAACACAGGTTGCCAACGTGGGTTCGTTCGGAGAGAAATGCATGCACATTCGCAGGGTGCACTTGATGATTCGATTTTTTTTTTCGTTACCGTTATTCGAAAAAATTTGTTTGATGATGCATTTCCGAACGTTTTTTTTGCAGTTACTAGAACAAGTTTGCTTTACGATGCTTTCCGAACGTGTTTTTTTTTGCAGTTTGCTTTTCTTCAGGTTTTAAATTTGAATTTTTTTTTAATTTATTGGAATTTCGGTTTTGAAGTAGCCCATTCAATTTTCGTATAATTTAGTGACAGCTTCAACTAGCTCACTGCCTATTTGGGTGAAAAATTGCATGAACTTAACAGTGTATGTATGTACTTCTACTAGCTCAGTGAAATGGATACGTGATGTAATTTTTATAAGGCGAAACCATGAAAATCAAGTGAGTTACCTGCATAACCAACCCAACGGCCATAACTACGTGTTTAATCTTCGGTGGAGACATATGTAGTATAAGGAGCGGAAAAACCACCACGAAAAGGTAATAGAATGATGAGCTGTATATCCTTTAAAACAGCGATGGGCAGAAAGAGAGCTTTTACTCTGCTCGCGCCTATACAAAATGTATAGAAAGCTTAAAGGAGCTTTGTCCGCGAGCAAGGCAGTGCCCATCAGTGCTTTATAACGATGTAGAAATAGTGCGGCAGATTAAAATACAACCGCTCAGCTGTACGTATGAACGGAAACGCTTCGTATCTGATGCTGGTAGCAAAAGAAGAGGAAGGCAACTTCTGTGGTGAGAAGACAAGGGAGAGAAAGACTTGGTTTAACCTGGAATTTCTAATTTGCATCAGTTGGCATATCTTCTCCTATCGAGGAAAGGGGAGTGTGTTACAATAACCTGATTTCAAGGAGAGAAGGTCATTGGCTCGTTGAGCCACCTGCAGGCCACTTGAGTAAGCCTTGCGGCCCGGTTTTTGGCAACGTATTTCCAACTTAATTTAATTTTTTTTTACAAAAATATAGTTTATCCCGACACAAAAATGCAAGCATTTAAGCTTCAAACTTTGTGTAAAATTTATTTAAAAAAATTAAAAAGAAAATCGTGTAAATTGCAAGATTTTTAATTAGATTTTGAATATATAGTTTGTGGCGCATTCAATTTTTAAGTGTAAGTTTGAGTGTCTGCGAAATACTGTTGATTTTTGGCAATTTTTTTGCTTACAGGGTGTGCATTGAGGAAAGTGGTCAACAAAATATATATATATATAAATTTCACCAAAATCAACTGTAAGTCCTAGGTTGTTCAAACTTGCGCTTTGTTATATTAAAATTGAAGCCCACACAGGTGCTTATTCAAAATTTTTCCGAAAACTGAAATAATGAACAATGTCAAGCCTAAATATTTTATTTAAAACCTGGAATTATTGTTTTTTTTTGTGTGGAAGAATAAACTATATTTTTATAAAAAAGAGAATTAAAATTGATTTAAAAAAAAATCTGGTAGTGAACCTTAAAAATTTGTTTAAAACTTTAAAATTTTCGTTGCTGTCTTTATTTTGTACATAGAAAAAAATTGAGATGTGCCCCACACAAACAACAGACCACCCTAATTCTTATTATTTAACTCCGGTTAATAAAACCCGTCAGATTAACAAACACATTTGATTTTTCACATTTTTAATTAATACATATTTTTGTTTATTGTAATAGTTTACGACAAATTTGTAAAATTTACGCTGACAGTATGTACAATAAAATAGTATATAATATACACGTAATTCCAAATACATATGAATGTATATGTAAAATAATAATTATAACACATTTTAAGAAGCTTAAGAGAACTGAGGACATTACTTATTTCCCCACACGAAAACAATGAAAAAGAAAAAAAATAAAATAACTTAAAACTAATAGAAGAACAAAGTTTAGAAAAGGAAACAAAACAGCGTGCGTGCTACTAAGATTCGCAGAACTATGTGCATGGCATTAAGTAAAGTAAGTGAAACCAGAGCTAAATGCGACAGATCTAGCAATTTTCATTCAGCGAACTTAAAGAAATTTATCGAAATGATAGAAGCCGGAAATGTTTTTCAAAGAAATTCGCAGTTTCCTTGTATTTTGTGCCCTCCGTGTGATAAAACTGTTAAACACAAAATCTAAGTAGTTTGCAGCTTAGTTGCGCTTCCTCAAAGCCAGACGGGCGTGCGGCAGGCGTCTCGCTTGTTCCTTGGGCTCTTGCTCGGATTCTTCCGCAGCTGTGTCGTCAGCAGGCGCTGGTGGTTCGGGTTTGCCGGGCTTCGCCAACAACTTACGGCGATTCACTGGAGGGAGTGCAAATGAGAATGATTAAACAAATTGGTGGCATAAAAAGGTCATATGTACATATATCAGATATATATATATATATATAAATGTATTTATATGAAACAAAATTGAAAAAAATTAGCTACTTACAAGGCTAGTAAGTACTGGCACTTATATACATACATAAGTTCGTAGTAAACAAAAAATACTCACAAGCTGTGCTGCCTGCCTTGAAACCTTTCGCAGGCGCTGGTGCTGGTGCAGATTCGGCGCCCTCGTCTCCGCCTTCGTCGTCAGCTGGCGATTGCTTGCTCTTTGGAGTTGGCTTCTCAACAGCTGTGAATTAAAGTCGTACATTTTTTATTTTTATTTTTTTGTATCTACTTATAGCAAAAAATCCATTTTATTTTTTATTTATCTTAGTTACTTACCTCTGTGTTTCTTAGCGTCCTGCTGGCGACGTTTCAGTGAATTCAAGAAATCATCGTTCGAGCGGAATGGCCGAATGACAGGACCTATCACCTTCTTGGGAGCTTCAGTTGTAGTTGTGGTGCTGCTTGCGGCTGCATCGTTCTCATCACCCTCCTCACCCTCTGGATTGTTGGCATCCTCATCGCCGTAGTCCCCTTCGTCTTCTTGTTGTGGGGGTGGTGGTGTGGTTGTAGTTTTTGCCACTTTACCACCGACTGGACGCCGTAGTGCCGGTCGTTTGGGTCCAAGGGAAGCCGGGCCTTCCTCCTGCGCGTAAGTGAGCGAAATGCAGCAAGCCAACGCAAGAACTACCAGCAAAAGTGTGCTGCAATAAATAAGCGAATTATAAATCAAAAATTTATTTAAACACAACCACAAACAAAGAAAATAAGTATGTACAGCTAAAGCTTAAAAACTGGATTTAATATGAAGTCTAACGAGTTAAGTTGCAATTATTGTGGAATTTCGTTCTGCAACAGACATACTAGCTACACCTATACACATACACGTTTAGCTACTAATGGCTATTAAAAAAAAATTTATGAAATAATCAAAATAAGTTGAAGTGAAGGCTCACTTGTACATATCTATGAAGGACGCTGCGGAATGAAGACGGTCTAGAATCTAAGACGAAGAAGAAGAAGAAAATTACGTATACGCCACAACGGTAGGGCTGAAAGATACTAATTTATGTGGTTACTTCAGCTAAAAGTCGATCAATAAATCGTTCGAGCGCGCATAAGCTGCTGTACGCTAATTGTTGTTGTTGCTGCTATTGTCCAGATTTGCTGTTTCATTTACTTGTAGCACCTAGCAACGC